CTGGAGGTTTTCAGCCTCCTGCAGCCTCTGCTGCACACCCACCAGACAGTGAAGGCCTTTGGAGATGCAATTTTAGGATCTCCAGTGGTACCTTGAGTGTTTGCTTCTGTGCACAGGCAGCAAGGGAATGGGTTGGTGTGGGATTAAGCCTCAGTCTGAGCCAAAGTGAGAGGAAAGGCAGAAATGCAGTAATTTTGTGGTGTCCTGTGCATGTCTGGGTGCGTTTTGTTAAAAGAGATGGCTTAATCTCATTATATTTTATATGGCTTTGTAGTTAAACCGTTCACCATCAGAAAGGGCCCTGCTGATGAGCAGAGACACCACCCCTGTGTTTATTAATTAATGTATTAATTGTGTGTACTGACAGCCAGGTCACCCTGCTCAGACCCTGAATTCCCTGAATGCAGAGAGGGATTTTGTGACCTCAGGGAATCCACCTCCCATTCCCTGAGTTAGATCTGCTGGGTTGGTGAGCTGGGATATCGCCTGCAGGGTGGGTTTTGTGACCTCTTGGCTCCAAGACTCACCACAGCTCCATGTTCTCCAGCAAAATGCAGCTTTCCAGGCTCTTCTGACTGTAAATTCAACCATAGAATCATTGAGGTTGGAAAAGACCTTTAGAGGTCATCAGCAAAGATGCCATCAGCAGCCAGGCCCACTCCTGGAAGAATTTTTTTCCTAAATATCAGTTTTTCAGCAGCACTGGATGTTTTCAGTTTGGAATCTTCCTAAGTGATGGCAACATGGACTCGTGAGAGGTCCCACTGCTGCCTCTGCCACTCAGACAACACCTGGSGTGAGAAAAATAGCTCAGAGGGCAMAGAAATGAAATTTGGCTGAACTCTGACACCTTGTGGACAATTGGATGAAGGTGATGGATGAGAGGGGAGCTCTCCATGCTCTCCCCCATGCTCTAGGGCTCCTGCCTGGGCAGGATTTGTTCCACCAGGGAGCCAAGGTTGGGCTCTGGGATGGAGTGAGTGCCCTCAGCATCCCCTCGAGTTCCAGGGACACATCCTGGACATGGCACTTTGCCCTAAAAYCTCCCTTCATGGCCCAGTTTGAGTCAGCAGCACTCCACCCCATCGCCCCGATGATCCTTAGTGTCACATGAGACCTAAATCACAGAACCACAGAATATTTGGGGTTGGAAGGCACTAAATGAGGACAAACTATATTAAAAACCTCAATAGGCAAATTAGCTGCTGTGACTCAGTGGCCTGAAGAGCAAGCACGTACTGGCAAGCATTTAATGATATAATTAATTATAAAAGTGCCTTAAAAACACAATATTTTGCAGATGCACCCAATCCTGTGTGGTTCTAATGGCCATCCACCAGCTGTGTCCAGAGGAGCAGCAGGCAGCTTCCACAGCCAAGGAAARTCAGGAACATGGGGACTTTGGAAATGGTTTCTTGTCAAAAGGGGAGGGAATTGAAGGGACAGAAGGTGCAGTGGGCAGTGCTCTTCCCAGAGATCAGGGCAGCAGGTGGCCACGGCCAGCTGGACAGCAGCAGGAAAGGGATGAAAAAACCTCTGGAGCTGCAGGAATTCCTTCCCAGCTCTCCCAGGCAATGGGGTRTAACCCAMAAACCCCACAGGAGGGGTATAACCCACAAACCCCACAGGAACACCCCGGTGCTCAGCTCCATTCCCTGTTCACTCCCTGTGCTGGAGCCCCAGGATGGAGAGCAGAGGGCTCCAGTGCTGCCTCTCAGAGATGATCCATGAGCCAGGTGAACTTTTCCCCCATGTTTCCAGCACACTTTGAGCCCCTGCCCTCCTCACGGGCCTGTTTTGGTTCCGTGGCAGCAGCAAGGCTGGGCTGTGCTGGGATGGGGCTGCTGGGGACCTACAGAGCACCTTGACCCCCGGCTGTGGGTGCTGAGAGGGATTGGGGGGCAGCTGGAGGCATCAAATCAGCTCTGAGGGCCTGGGATCCCGAATTTTGGGGAAGGAAGAAGATGAGCCAGGGAGTTTCTCAAGGGCAGCTCTTCCCTGATGCTCGGAGCAGGRGATGAACACACAGACCGTGCTTTTTGGAGGCTGTGGGAACATGAAACAGAAGCTGGAAAAGAAAAGCCAGGATCTGTCTGGGGAGCCTGCAGGAGCAGATTTCCCTGCCCATGTCCCATGCAGGACCTTGCCACGTCTGGGCATTTTGGGGCTGAATCCCAACYTTTCCATGGCAGCCTGGAGCAGTGTCTGGCCAAACACAAGCAGGGCAGTGATTAAGGGGCTGCAAACACAGCTATTTGTGTTCCGTGGCACTGAGAGCTCCAAGCTCCACTCCTTTGGTAACACGAAGGAAAAAGCTTTAGTAACAGGGTAGGAGTTACTAATTTCTACCTACAGAGACAGYTTTTCTGGCAAGTGCCCCTTGCAGGAAATGAGTCAGAGCAGTGAATCAGTGTCTGCAGTGCCACATGAAGCTGATTTTCAGTTCTAACCGTTATATTCAACACGGGAGGGAATCACTTTAATGAGAATTATAACCCTGGGAGGAAACCCCCAATAAACTCCAGCTCCTCCTGTTGCCTTGGTGAGGACAAGTTACCAAACTTACTGGTCCCAACAAAGAAAGCTGGCAAGAGAAAGGTGGCCCAACAGCTCAACACGTGGCATTTGGCTGATGGCCGAGAGAAATTGGCAGTGCCTAAAAAATAAAATTATCTGACGGAAAAAAGAGCCAGACTGAGGCTGCCATGGTGATGAGAAATAGAAGCTGGTGGCGTGACCAGGTCTCTGTGTGTTCCATCAGCTTAAATACATTAACAGAACCGTTCAGGAGCRCTGGCTGTGCTCTCAACAGTCACATTTTCCAAGCCCACTCCTTTTTCCACATGATCTGTGCCCACAATGCCACAGAAAGTGGGTCTAGGAGGTCCTGTGAGGGGGTGAGGAGAGCTGTCAGTCAAATAACACCCAACACAGCCCAACATACCCCTGGAAGTGCTCAAGGCCAGGCTGGGTGGGGCTTGGAACAACCTGGGATAGTGGAAGGTGTCCCTGCCCATGGATGGCAGGGGGTGGCACTGGATGGTTCCCTTCCAACCCAAACCATTCCGTGATCAGTGCTTGGCACATTGTGATCGCTGGGCCATGACCACGATGGAGGCTGGGATATGGCCCCCCTGTCAGCCATGAACTCCTGCCCTGCTCCCAGGAGCTCGAGGAGGTGGCCAAAGCCCAGGCAGCCCCTCCTGCTGCCCTGTGGTCAGTGTGGCACAGCTTCACGGGCACTCTGGAGATTGGCACAGCAGGAACAGTGTYCCACGTGTGTGTGAGCAGGGGGATCTGTGACAGGGCTGCTCTGAACACCATTCCAGGCTGTTTCATGCAGACAGAATTTCCAAACCTCTGCTTTGTGCTGACAGGCCAAATGGGAAATGCAGATGTGAGCACTGACAGCTCTGGTGGTGCCTTTGCCTTCTCAGCCCGTTTTTGTCTCTGCAGGGATGACCCACCCGCCCTACGCCCCCACAGCCTCTTCYAGCAACCCAGCCATGACCCAGAGCAACCAGAGCTGCTCCTCTTACAACATCACCTTCAAGAGCAGCCTCTACGCCACCACCTACACCCTCATCTTCATCCCGGGGCTCCTGGCCAACAGCGCTGCCCTGTGGGTCCTGTGCCGCTTCGTCAGCCGCAAGAGCAAAGCCGTCATCTTCATGATCAACCTGGCCGTGGCCGACCTGGCCCACGTCCTCTCGCTGCCCCTGCGCATTTATTACTACATCAACCACAGCTGGCCCTTTGGCAACGCCCTGTGYTTGCTGTGCTTCTACCTSAAGTACCTCAACATGTACGCCAGCATCTGCTTCCTCWGCTGCATCAGCATCCAGCGCTACCTGTTCCTGCTGCACCCCTTCAAGGCCAAGGGCTGGAAGCGCCGCTACGACGTGGCCATCAGCGCCCTGGTCTGGCTCCTGGTGGGGGCAGCCTGCGTGCCCTTCCCGCTGATGAGGAGCCACGGGCTGGCAGCCAACAACACCAAATGCTTTGCTGACCTGCAGGTAAAGCCCATCAGCAGCAAAGCGGCCACGGTGCTGATGATCGGCGTGGGTGAGCTCCTGGGCTTCGTGGGCCCGCTCGTCATCATCTTATTCTGCACCTGGAAAACAAGAGACTCCATCCGGGGCTTCCACGTCCCGCAGGAGAGCGGCGGGGAGAGGCGCAAGGCGCTCAGGATGGTTTCCATGTGCGCCATCGTGTTCTGCGTGTGCTTCGCTCCCTACCACATCAACTTCTTCTTCTTCATGCTGGTGAAGGAGGAGGTCATCACCGACTGCTTCCTGAGCACCATCACGCTCTACACCCAGCCCTTCTGCCTGAGCCTCGCCAGCTTCGACTGCTGCTTGGATCCCATCATCTATTTCTTCATGACTTCCGAGTTCCAGGATCAGTTTTCCAGGCACAGCAGCATGGTCATCCGGAGCCGGCTCATGAGCAAGGAGAGCGCCTCGTCGATGAAGGAATGACCAGAAAGWCACTCAGGAAAACAAAGGTGTTTTGTGTGAAATGTGAGACTKTTCTGGGATACTCCATGGTGGAAGATCCTGCAGGTTTGTCCGGGGGAGTTTGGTGGCAGTGGAAATTTTTTTCAGTACGTAGAAGATAAAACTTTGTGTAAGACTGGTGTGTTGGTATCTGGTGAGTGACCCGACTGGTGTGACATCCCCACACCATGCCACCCCCTCCTGACCCTGCTGGACTAGGACACACACAGGAGGGAGTGACAAACCTTTTACTGGGAAATGGTGGAAAAGTTCCAGGGATTTTCTTTGACTTTCCCAGCTCCAGGCTCTATGATCAAGCCAGAGACAATCCCATATCTGTACACTGATATCTGCTGAAGGATATTCTCTGGGAAAACCACTCAAGAACCCAAAAATGGCCAGTAGCAACCACAGGGCGTTGTGGTTTGTGCAGAGGGGGCTATGGGCAGGTGAAGGTGTGCAGCTCGTTTCTGTGTGCCCCTGGGTTTAGTGCATCCCCCTGGTGCTCTCTGCTCCACCTTTCACCCTCCCCTTCCCGCTCTGCTCCTCCTTCCCCTCCTGACCCAGCTCTGGTTGTTCCCTGATTGTTGATACATCCCATAACCTACACCTGCAGCTGGTGAAAGACCCTCTGCAAGACAAACTCTCCTCAAAAATCCAGAGAGTGGCACCTTCCCTCTCTCCAGGGGAATTCCTTCCCCTCCAAGCTGGCCAGGGGGACATGGGCAGGTGACTTTTGCCTTTGGACCCCTTTGGGGCAGGCCCATGGTGGTCCTGGGGTCAGTGCAGGTGGGTTTGATGGTGCTGGTGGTACCACTCAGGTCCTCACTCTTTTCTGTGCGTGGTCCAGAGGTTCCTGAGATGAATCTGCCCTGAAAAAGCTCAGCTCAACCCATTCAGTTGATGCATCTTTTAAAAGAGAGGAATCCTTGCCAAGGTGACTTCACTGACAGAGCAGAAGTTCATAAATTATTGTGATTTTTTTTCCATTAGGTCCTATTGTGATCTGAATGTTTACATGCAAAGCAGYGACAAGGAAGGATTAATTTTGCCCATATTTTTAATTACTTACAGCTCTTCAGCCAAGTCCATGCKCTCTGTAACTTCAGGGGTATCTTGTGATACCTGGGGATGGATTTGGCTGAACAGTGACCCATTTACTGCCTTTGAAAATCTCTCTATTTTCAAAAGAATGTGGACAATTTGTCCACAGTCTTGCAACAGTTGCCTCAAAACCAGAAGAAATACCAGAAACACTTGCTATGTGTATTTTAACTCCAGCCTCTCAATTCCACTGAGTTAAAGTGTAACTCAGCCAAATATTTTCTGTATATTGTGTTTTCCCACTTCTCTGTTTTACAAAAAAAATGGGAGAAAGCCAAGAATCGGGGTTTAAACAACCATTTCCCTGGAGTTCCTCCAAAAGACAACGACACTGAACACAACAAGCTCTCATAGTTCTCCTCTCACGTGTGAGATGATTTTGGGCTGAGCAGGATGCACTGGAGTCGATGGAAATGTTTTCTTTGATGTCACTGGCACAATAAATGTTTTCACACTGCCAGGAATTCCCTTCTAAAGGGGTGGATGCTCACGGGCAGAGTTAATTACACACAACTCAATTTTCACTTCAGCAGCCTCTCATAAGCTACACTCTGTATAAAAGGGGTGAGACTGCAGTTTCAGTGCTTCTTTTGAGGGTTTTTATAGACCCTGCTCAGCCTCCATGAGGCTGGGAGCTGTTTCCTGCCCCTTCATTTTCACACCCTTCTCCCTCCATCAGGTGAAAAGAAGCTGAGGGCGCTTACGGGAACGCTGCAGCTCCTTCTGTGGTTTTACTTTCCGAGGACTGATGCTCAAAAAAAAATAAAGTCTGTTTTTCAAACATCAGCTGAATTTTGTAGTGATCACTGGTTGGGATCAGCTCCTTCTGGGATCAGAGCTCAAGTGATGGAGTGCCACTTTAATTATTCTTAAACAGATTTGTTGTGTTTTCACTCTGACWTATTTATTTATTTAATTTTAAAATCAACCACACTTAAAATTGGTTTAGAAGTACTTTGGGGAGGAAGAGCTGTCCTGGATGGTGGGAGATGGGCCTGGCTTGGGRATAGCCACTCCAGCTGCTGAGTGTSCCAGGGTGACAGTGGCTCTCTTACCCATAACTTCACATGGTTTGGTGTCTCCATCAGGGATAACAATCTCCATCTCCATTATGGCACCCCCAAGCACCTCAGCTCCCCCATTTCCCTGCCTCACCCCCGCTCTGAACTCCCTTAAGCTCCCAAATTTTTTTTTTTTTTTTTTCATACTGTAGCCCCAGCCTGTGAGGAAAAGTGACACACTCAACACTTTTGATCCTGTGGTGTGCAAGGGATGAAACAACTCTGTCCAAAGGTCTCTTCTGGTGTGGGGAAAGTGCCCTGGTTTTGGYTGGGTTGGAGCTAAACCACCTCAGCTGCCAGATGGGGTTAAACCACCAGAGAAAGTTGGGCAGGATGCCCAGGATGGGCCAGCCTAGAGAGCAACAACTCAGAGCAAAGAGAGAACAGGGAAAACCTGCAGTTTCCTGAAAATCCRAAGATCCCTTTGGCCTCCCCAAACCCGTGTGTGAAATCCAGAGCCTTTAGTTCAGTTCTTCCAAAGCCTCAGTGTGCATCTCCAGGGAAGAACAGGCGTTCCAGAGAGGAGGAGAGTATTCAGATTATTCCCAGTGCCTTCCCAGCTGGCTGGTGCTGGGTCTGACCCAGGGCTGGGGCTGCAGAGGCTGCTCTGCCCCACWCAGACAGAGGCACAACAAACCTGGCTCAGGTTCCTGTAATTCACCCCATTTCCTGTGACCAAAAGCTCTGTTTATTATTTTGACAAGAGGAAATATAATTTTATGATGCTGCTCCTGGGTTATCTCTCGTGCTGGTCCTGCTGTTCAGACTCACCAGAAAAAGATTTTTCCTCCTTCTCGGACAGACACAAAAAAGCTGTTTTAACAGGGGTGCCACAAAGAAAACAAAAAMAAAAAAAAAAAAAAAAAAAAAAAAAAACAAGCAGAATTTGACCAAATCAAGAGTTCCAGCTCCACAGATGTGTGAAAGATGGATCTGAGGGGCTGCTGGGGTTGGAGCATCTCACCCTGAAAGGATGGAGACACAATGATGTCCCTGATCCACCTACACTGGCACAGTGCCTGTCCCYGAGGCACAGCCCTGGGCAAACACATTTCTTTTCCTCTAGAACATGAGCCTTTCACCTTTCAGCAGAAGCAAATGTGCTTCCCTGCAGTGCYACCCCATCACAACCAGGAGCAGAGCTCTGGGATCTCCTCTCCTGCTTGAATGAGCCCTCCTGTGCACGACAACAAACACATTTGGAAAGAACTCCAGAGGGGTTTAAAGCCCTTCTGAACCCTCAGGTTCGGAGCTGCAGGATCCTGCAGTACCTCTTGCCTCCCTTAAATGAAATTTCCAGCTCTCTGGTACCAGAGGAAAAACAAAATAGGCTGGAAATGCAGGGTAACAAATCCCACAGACAGTTCAAAAATATGAAACCACTTCATTGCACTTAAAAGATTTTGGGGATGACTGGTGTGTTTTAACCAAAAATGCCGGGTTTGTGGATTAGACAAAGGCTTAGCCCAGAAAGGGAGGGATTGACAATAATTTGCTGTAAAACAAATCAGAGCTTCCCAAAACGCTGTCCCTGCAGCGAGCTCTGTGTGACAGCGAGAGGGACAATGAGCCGGGGGCTCACCCGACCCTGCTCAGCTCCCTGCACAAGGGTGAAGCTGCTTTGTGTGAACGAATCCTCCTCCTCTTCCTCCTCCCCCTGCTTTTCATACATCCTTCAGGTGCATCCTGTCAGATATTCTCAATGCTGAGCGCTTGAGAGACGCTGATCATCTGCATTTGGCCTGCTGCCCACAGGATACCAGGCTACAGCAGAAAAACCTTTATCTGGAGGCCTTAGATAAAGTCTCACAGTTACTTAAAWAGTTATTTAAAAGTTCCTTTGTGTCTTCTGCCTTTGAAAGCAGAACGTTGCCAAGTGTGAAAGGTGCTTTAGTGCTGGGGATGAGCCAGAGAAACAGAAATGCTTGAACAAAACCATGCCCAAATTCAAAGAACAATGGAGAGGTTGATCGGTGTGTGTTGAAGGATGAGGCTCGAGGTTTGTCAACCCCTCAGCTTTTCCGGCCAGGAATSCTGTGATCTTCTGCAAAAGTGGCCCAAAAAAAGCCAAGGAGCAGAGGGAGGGCTCAGCTTTGTTACAAACCCCACACTTTGGTCTGATACCCACTGGTCTCTCCTTTCCAGCACAGCTGCAAACAGACACCTAAAAATAGGGTTTGGGGATGGCTGGACAGGCTGCTGCAGCCCCAGAAATAGGATGTCCCAGGCAGGATATCCTGGTAAAACAGCTCCTTCACTTTGGGATTAACCTCTTGCCCTCTGGAGAGGGACAGGGCACAGTGCCAGCCGCCCTTCTGTGCTCTGTGAGTGCTGCACAAACACACGAGAGCTGCTCCTTCTTCCCAGGAGCTGCAAGAGATGCACAGGAAGAAAACTGGGAATGGTAAACAGCTCTTGCATCTCCCAAATCCTTTTGCTGGCAGCTGGGATGAGAACCATGGGGATTTAGGGTGCCCTGAGAAGCTGTGGCTGCCCCATCCCTGGAAGAGTCCAAGGCTGGACAGGGCTTGGAACAACCTGGGATAATGGGAGGTGTCCCTGCCCATGGCAGGGGGTTGGAATCAGAGTCTTTGAGCTCCCCAATCCAAATCTCTCTCAGATTCCACGATTTCTTGACACAAAGAGACCAGGCAGCTGAGTGGGTGGCAGAGCTCTGGTGCATTCTTGATTCCTGGCAAAGTTACCCTTGAGCTGGTAACTAAAGGTTGTGAGAGCTTCCTCCTTTCATTTCTCTTCCATAGTTCCGTTCCTGTTAATTTTGTTAATTTTCAGAAAATAGGGTAAGAATATTTCTATTTTTACATTACCCCCAGGAAGGGAAAGCTGCCAACAGCCAAATGATCTGTACAAGCCCTGGGCAGTGAGATGTGACCCTGGATCTCAGGTAAAACTGCTCAGCTGGAAAAGAGGCAGCTCAGAAGAAGTCACACCGTGAAGTTACAAAGAATGTCATGCTCAGCAGGCAGAAAAACTACTCAAAAATCTATATATGTGCAAGTATATGGGAAAGGAATTAAAGGAGGCAAAAAGAAAAGGATTGGGAATGATGGCACATCATGGTATCTTTAAACTACAATATTTTGGGAAAATCTCCTCCTCAAACCATCATATTATTTCAGGAATAAAGTCCAAACCCTCCAGCTTCAGCCCGCAGCCCTGATAGTCTGAGGCTAACCAAGCTTCCAAGAAAATGAGGGGAAATTACTCCTTTCCAGTAACTTACACTGGCAGAGCGCTCAGTTTTCCTTCGGCGAGCGCTTATTGGGAGGTTGCTTCTGTATTTCACAGCTCTTCCCAGGCAAAGTGACCGTGGAGAGGAGCGGGAGCAGCCGGAGGGAAGGGCACCGTCCCCTCCCACTGCCCTGTGCCCAGAGGGGACACAAATCCATGGTCTCCATCCCAGGGCACTGCCACCAAACGACGTCATCGCCATCCCAGCGGCTTTAACGTCATTAACTGCATAATTTTTTATGCTGAGAAGGGAAACAAAATACAGGATTTCCTGTTGTGCAGCCCCTGGACCGGGCTGCCGGAGCCGGCGGGATTCCAGCGCTCCGAAAACATGTGGAAGTTAAGCGAGGAGGCGCTGAGAAAACCTCTGGGAAATAAAAGCAGAAGGCTGGCTGCTCCTGCTCGCTAGCACGGCTATGACCCCCCCGGAGYATGGCAAGCACGGGAAGGTGAGTGGCATTTCTGCTCTTTTCTTCAGCAGACGGAACCCGGCGCAGTTTTTAGTAACTTTATCGCTCCTTTGTAGTTCTTCGAGAGATGGTATCGGGCAGGAGCTGGTGCAACATCCTCAGCCGCTTCTGCCRTGCCCACAAATTCATCTCCGAGGGTGGGTAAGGGCAATCGGTGCCTGGGGAAGGCTGTGGTGCGAAGCAGGACGCGGGCAGAGGCTGTTTTAGCCCAAAAAAACCTCAATTTTGCCCTTACGGACAGAGGCTGCCGTAAGAGACCGGCTCTATTTACGCATTTCCTATTAGTGCCTAGATTAAACAAACAAAATTATTGCTTACGGCCCCAGWGCCAGAAAACTCCACTGCTCCAACCAGGAGTTTATTTCAGGCCAAAAGTGGATTTTTTTTATTATTATTATTATGATTATTTTTTCCCAAGCCTGCTTTTCCCTCCAGCATCCCAGCGCTGAAAGGAGGCAGCTTTGTCCCCATCCCCAGCTTGGAGGGCTCTCCCCAGCAGTTCCTGCAGCTCGGTTTTAGCCCGGGGTGTCCAAGCAGCCCATGGAAAAGATGAGRGCGAGTTTGCCAATGGATCGGGGGCAGTAAATGCAGTAACACGGCGCTGCCCAGGAGCTGGGTGGGGCACGGGCTGATTCACAGGAGCCGGGCTGTTTCCAGCCCTGACAGCCACATTCGCCTCCAGGAACAGACACGGCTCCAGCACACTCCAGAAATGAACCCCGGGTGCTCCAAGAGCTGCCTCGGCCTCCTAATGAATTGCAGAGTTATTTGATGTTTAATGAATGGCAGGGCGGCATCCACAGCCGGTGCCGGTGCTCTGACTCCTCGGGCACTGATGTTGGGCTCCCTTCTGGAATTTCAGCTGAGTAAAACTCAGCCTTGCCAAAAAAAGCACTCCCTGCTCCTGCCTGTGTTTAAATCCATGYGTGGATGAAATAGGAAAATAATCAAGGAATGGCAGGAATATTTTACAGGAGATTTATGAAGTYGCTGAACAAAGCTCTGGCCAGAGCCCATGGGAGCATCTCTGTCCTGACACCACCAGCCAAGCAGGGGGAAGCTGGAGGGACCTGGGGCAAAGGAAAAATGGGGAAAACAATAAAAAATTTACAAATCCACCTTCCCAGGAATTGTTGTAGGAATTGCTGTAGACCAGCTCGGTCTGACCCCAGCCTAAGGTGGGGATCCTTGCTGCTTTCCTGCCAGTGCCCTCAAAAGCTGTGCTGGGTATCAGAGATGCCACCTGGCCCTCCTGACAGGAACAGGCACCCCTGTGCTCCCAGAGAAAATCAAAAACCTGGGGAAAACCAGCAGGGAGGCTCCCCATGGAGGAGTTTAGGATCTGGGCTGAGTTGTGTGGCGGGGACAGCGGGGGCTCGGTGAYCTTTCCATGAGCCCACACCGAGTGCCACCTCCCTCACTGGGCAGCTGTGACGAGAGCTGGGAATTGCTGCCTTCCCCACACTCCTGGCAGCTCTTCCTCTCTGTTTTCTGCAGGGATAGGAAGCCAAGTCCTGCCACCCCTTCCCCAGGGTTAAACAGAGCAAGTGCCCAGGGCAGTGCAGGGCACAAGGCCCTCAAGGATTTTGGGGCMGGTGAGGAGCACAGGGATACCRCAGGGCCGAGGAATTGATTCCCACYRTTCCCTCAGCACTGATGTCCCCTCTCCCTGCCTTTCCCAACTCAGTGGAGCAATCACAAACCTCTGGCACAGTGGGCAGCTCGAGCTCCACTCCAGCCTTGCTTTGCTTGCAAGTTGCCAAACTTTGCTTTTCCAAGTTGCCAGACTCTGGAAAAAACAAGGAAAAGTTTGGTTTGGGAAGCAGGGTGAGAGCACATCAGAGGTGAGGGTGGTGGGCAGTCACCATGTTTTTTATATAAAAATATAAAATATCTAGAATAATGATTTTCTCCTGAAAYTGAAAATCTGATAACTCCCGCAAAGAGCTGCCCAGGTGAGGAGGAGCAGGATGGAGGAGCCTTCATCCTGTACCTTGAAGCAATGGAATGGATTGGCACCTGGAGATCCACCCCTGTGACAAACACCAGGCTTTGGGAAACAGCACTGTGGCTGCTTCTTAATTAATTACCACTGATGAGGGGCTGGGTGACAGTGACAGGAGATGCTGAGGGCACTGCCAACYCCAGCTCCAGGCAGGGAAGGGCAGAGAAGGCTGCCCACCCCTCACAGGCTGCATTTCCAAGGGGAAAATCCCACTGTCTGTAACAGAGATCCTGCAGCCCCCGGGTTTGTATCCTCCTGCTCCCAAATCCCCTCTTCCCAAAGGAACAGATMGTTTCCCATGGGATCTACTCATGAACAACAAATCCATCACCTCTCCAGAGAGCAGCAGGAGCACCTGAACTCCCCATGACCCGCTAACAAATCCCCTCAGCACCGGGTGAGCTGGGGGTAAATGGATGAAAAGAATTTCTACTTTAACTAGAAGGGAGGTGTATTTATCTCCCTGCATGTCCTGAGCAGTTGCTGGAGGATAATTCCTGCTGCTGAGGGATAATTCCTGCTGCTGAGGGATAATTCCTGCTGCTGCAGCGCGATGCCTGCACAATGTGCCGGGAGTGCTGGAATTGAGTTAGCAGGACCAGCAGAGCGACTGGCGTGTGTTTGGCCAGTTATTAACTTAAAAATGCAGCCTTGGCTCTGGAGCCAGAGCTGATGGATCTGTCTGCAGCTCTGCTCTGGCCTCAGCTGCCTGGGGATGTTAATTATGGCCTTTGCTGCCGATTCACATCAGCAGGAATCCGCACGGATCTGCAAAGGCGATGCCTAAATCCATTTCAAATCCCTATTTATTTACGGGCCAGCTGAAATTGCTTGTAGATGTAGAGCACCAATTTGACAGAGTTTGATGGAAAACTTGGTGGAATAAAAGTGGCAGTGAAAAAGCTGGGGAGMTGCAGAAGCTGTCTGGCAATAAAGGGATGGATGTTAGAGAGTTCAGGGCATTCACTGTAATTGGGGGAGCTCACGAGATCCTGCAGGGCTCCTCTGCAAGGAGAGGGTGGAGGAGGCTGAAATCACTCCCTGGGAGTGGGGTCACCCTTCCCAACACACACATTGACCTGCGCACACACCCACACACAATTTACTCTTCTGCCTAAAGTGCATTTGCTCCATGGAGAGRTTTTGTCCTTACTGCATCTTTTCACCCACTGCAGAACCCCTCCCCCTGCCGTGCCCACCCCGTGAGCGAAGAGACCCGGCCAGGATGGAGAGCAACGTGTCCTCTGGGAACTGTTCCCACCCCCAGATGTCCTTCCAGTCCACCCTCTACGCCACCACCTACACCCTCATCTTCATCCCGGGGCTCCTGGCCAACAGCGCTGCCCTGTGGGTCCTGTGCCGCTTCGTCAGCCGCAAGAGCAAAGCCGTCATCTTCATGATCAACCTGGCCGTGGCCGACCTGGCCCACGTCCTCTCGCTGCCCCTGCGCACCTACTACTACATCAACCACAGCTGGCCCTTCGGGAGCTTCCTGTGCCAGGTGTGCTTCTACCTGAAGTACCTCAACATGTACGCCAGCATCTGCTTCCTCAGCTGCATCAGCATCCAGCGCTACCTGTTYCTGCTGCACCCCTTCMRKGCCAAGGGCTGGAARCGCCGCTACGACGTGGCCATCAGYGCCCTGGTCTGGCTCCTGGTGGGGGCAGCCTGCYTGCCCCTCATCATTGTCAGGAGCCCTTCCCTGTCCAACTCCATCAACAGCTGCTTCTCGGACCTGGGCGTGAAGCAGCTCAGCCCGGGGGCGGCCATCGCACTGGTGACGGTGGCGGAGCTGTTCGGCTTCGTGGTGCCCTTCGGCACCATCGCCTGGTGCACGTGGAGGATGTGGCACTCGCTGCGGGAGGGGCCCACGGCGCTGCAGGAYGCGGGTGAGAAGCGCAAGGCCCTCAGGATGGTCCTCATGTGCGCCGCCGTCTTCTTCATCTGCTTCACCCCCTACCACATCAACTTCCCCTTCTTCATGATGGTGATCGAGAACATCATCCGCGACTGCGCCGTGCACCGCAGYGCGCTGCGCTTCCACCCCATCTCGCTGTGCCTGGCCAGCCTCAACTGCTGCCTGGACCCYGTTCTTTACTACTTCATGACCTCCGAGTTCCAGGCGCATCTGCTGCGCCATGGCTGCGTGGCTCTGAGGGCCCGGCTCCCGCCCCGGCGCAGCAGCGCCTCAGCCACCGACACGGCCCACGACATCCGCGTSAGGAAGAGGAATCTGCCTCGCCTCAAGTTCTGGTCCCTGCCTAAATTCTTCGGCCAAATCAACAGCATGGACATGCCGGCCGCGCCGCCRGACGAGCTGCTGCTGGAGTCCATCTCGTGAGCATCGGCCGGGCCTGTCCGTGCGGGCCCCTCAGAGCTGTGGTCAGGACTGCTCTGCTGGCCACAAACGCCTGGAACTGTCCTTGCGTGCCACCCGTGCCAGGACCTGATCCATAAGGACCTCATGATGCCTTTGAAAGGCATCAAAAAAGAGATTAAAAGTAGGTTTGGTGGTGGTGTTGTTGCTGCTGGGGCCTGTTGCCTTCCATCCCCACAAAAGCCATCGCTGCTGCCCAGAAGTTTCTCCTTTGCTGAGCTGCAGTGGGTTCAGGTGCCTCATTGCAGGCGTTTCAGTGCTTCTGTGTATTTGCCATTTTTGGGAATCCCTCTGGACCCYGAGGTGTGAGCGAGCGGTCCAGCCTTGGCACGGCTCGAGGAGTTCCATCCCCATTCACAGGTACCTACAGCTGCTGTCACCATACCCACACCAGGCTCTGGATCAGGACAGTTCCTCATCTCTGTGTAAACTGAACCTCTTCTCACTACAAAATCCATCACCTGGGTTCAATCCAGCCTAATCTGGACTGCAAGGCTGTAACTGCACCGACATGCACCGTGCAAAGGGTGTTAACCTGCATGGCATCAGTGGTACCAGGAGGGTTCAGACAAACTGGAAAAGGCACCCAGAGCTGAGCAAAGGGATCCACCCGGCTCCTGGGAGCTGCAGGGTGCTCAGCTGCTTGTGGGGGATTGAATATTTGGGAGGAAAATGGTGATGGATGGATGTGCCACAAGCAAAGAGGGAGTTGTGACACTCCCTCTTGTGTCAACACAGATCTGGTGTGAGCTGCAAAAACAGGGACTTGTCATTAGTGTCTCTTGTGTTGTTTTTGGGAGTCTTGTGCTCTTTGTCATGTTGCTGACGCCTGTGGTTGCACATTAAGATGTTGTCCAAACCTTCAGTCTTGCTTCAAACTCCAGAAACCGTCCCAGCCCTCACTGGGTACCGAGAAAATTTACAAAACTGACTCCAGTACACCTGGAAAGCTTCAAACTCCAAGGAAATAAAATGATCCCAAGTGTATTTTAGCTTCAGGAGTATTATTTTTTAGCGCTTGGAAATATTCTCATTATGCCCCACATCTGCTTTCAGAGCAGTGACACAATTTGGGGGGAACACCCCAGTCTGGGGCTCAGAGAGGCCTCAAACAGTGGCCAGTGCAGGGGTTCTGAGGTTTTCTCCTCCCAAAAAACCCTCAGGGAGATTTATAAGTAAATGTAGGCAGAGAGGGGTTGATGGAAAACAGCTTTTCCCATGATTGGATGCACATTTCCACCCCAGCATTTTCTGGGAAGCACAGAATGGGTGGAGGTTTATGCTCACAGTGCTGAGGCTGGATGGGAAAGCACAGATGGGACATCCAGACAACCTGGAGAAATTTCCTTTGGTRCTTAAAGTGTGCCAGAGACAGGCAGAAAATCCTGTGAACAGGCAGAGAACACCAGGAACAGGCAGAAAACCTTGGGAGTGGGCAGAAAATCCTGGGAACGGGCAGAAAACCTGGGAACAGGCAGAAAATCCTGGGAATAGGCAGAAAACCCCGGGAATGGGCAGAAAACCCCGGGAATGGGCAGAAAACCCACTGCCCTGAGCCTCATTCTGTCCCAAATCTCCTCCTCCTTTCACAAAAAAATATAAATAACAAAAGGCCGTGTTTTCCTTGTTTGCCTGGGGGGGGGAAAGAGCTTTCAGGGCTGGAAAAATGCTGTTTCAGATGATCCAAACCCAGCAGAGTGCAGAGGCAAAACAGGAAACCCGAGAAAACCTCACCGGTGCCAGGACTGGCTCTGGGCAGCTCCCACAGACAGGATGAGCCACAGTCCTGGTGTGGCTTTCCATTTTTTGGGAATGGCACAGCCCTGAGGAGCTGGGCTGGACATGSAGGTGGCCCTCAATGACCACAGACAGGGAATTTTTAAGCCCCCCTGACTGAAAATTCCGGATTGTGGGTCTGACCTTACTGGCAGCACCAGCTCTGGGTTTCCCAGGAGCTCTGGTCCCACTGGGCTTTTGCTGGTTTGTTTGCAGATCGCTTTCCTGACGTTTCTGCAGCTTCCCCCTTCCAAACAGAGAGCAGGAAAGAGAAAGCAAAGCCAAAACTCTCGCTGCTCTGTCACGTGGAGGCTCAACAGCAAATGYTGTCCCTGCCTCAGGCACGGGAGATGCAGTGGAAAAATCCCCTGCTAGGTTGGATGCTCTGGGCAGTGAGGAATTTGCTGGGATTTCTGTAAATGGATCCCTGAAGGAACATCCTTCTCCAGCACMAACTGGTGCTTCCCATGCCCGCCAGGCTCCTGTTTCATCAGCCATAACATCATCATGGAATGGKTTGGGTTAGGAGGGACCTTAAAGCTCATCCCATTGCAGCCTTCCCATGGGRCACCTTCCACCATCCCAGGCTGCTCCAAACCCCATCCAGCCTGGCCTTGGACACTTCCAGGGATGGAACAGYCACAGTTTCTCTGGACACCCTGTGCCAGGGCCTCCCCACCCTCACAGGGAACWATTTTTTCCCAATATCCCATCCAACCCTACACTTACATATCCCTAAAATCAYGCAGTACTTGGGAGTATCCAAGTCCCTCACACAGCACTTTTTAGGGCCCCACAGGGAAGGAGGGAAGCTGCTTTTCTCCTTGCTAAAAATACCTTTATCCTCCCTGCATGACCTCATGCTCCCAGTCCAGCCCCAAAGTGACTTTGCCTCTGGAAAACCACTCAGCCTCTGTGGAGCCCTCACCACTGAGCCTCAGACTCTCCTGAATTTTGGCACCACTGCTGGCGAGAAGCAGCTTTTCCACCCACCCACCTCGTGCTGGAGAGGGGAAATGCTGTCCCTGGCAAAGGAACGAACACCAACCACTCCAATCCYGAGCACAGCTCCAGCACACTGGGAACAAATTCTGCTGCTTCAAACCCAGCCGGCCCAGGGAGAGGCTCTCCAAGCCAGGAGCCGTTTTCCAGACAGCCATGATTTCATCAGACCCCAATCCAAGTTTYTGACTCTTATGCTCAGCCAGCAACACCCTGCAAAGCCCAAGTTTAGGGTGTGGTGGGACAGCACCGGGTGACAGCCCCAGGTGTGTCCATCGGCCCTTCCCGTGCTCCAGGGGCCTGTTCAGGGCACAGGGGAGAGGATTTGGGAATTCTGGGTGGATGCCATGGCAGTGTCTGGCATTGGGAGGGTGCTCAGTGTTCCAAAGAACAGCCCCAGCCCCATCCCTGCCCAGCCAGCTCATCCTTCCCGGCAGGCACAGCCACGCCATCACTCACTCCTGCTCCGTTAGCAGGGATTTGTTGGTTTTTAATGAAAATTCSCTGCTGCAGGCATGCAGGGCAGGCAAACCCAGCAGTTTTTAGCCCTCAGCTTGGAATCAGCAGCATGGCTGCATCCCTGGCTCCATGAAAACCCCGCTGATGCTGGGAGCTGCATCCATGAAGCTGTGCCTGCCCCTCCTTTCCTTTCCTTTCCTTTCCTTTCCTTTCCTTTCCTTTCCTTTCCTTTCCTTTCCTTTCCTTTCCTTTCCTTTCCTTTCCTTTCCTTTCCTT